GCCGAAGTAAAAAAAAAAAAAAAATAACCTAGCTAGAGTGGTGGCTAGCTTGCCGACGACTAGTCACTGTTTGGATACAGCTAACTTGGTCGAGTTAGCCGTGTCACAGCTGTACCCGTTCCTCCCTCGAATAATTTTCCTCTAGCTATGGTGAAGGGAAAGGAAAATTGTCACCACCGCACAATCCCGAGAATAGCGCCCGGTGAGCGAGTTGTAAGCTCACGTCTGTGGACAGTTTAGCTATTTCTGGGAAATGCAGTCGTGTCGAGGTAAGCTTTTTTTGATGAAAAGCTAGAAGAGGTGTTTGAACGACTCAGAGATGCTGCGTCTGACCTTTTATAGGGTAGGAGGGACATCCTTCCCCGAAGCACACGCCTCGATGTCCAGCCAATCATGGATGGCGTAGTGTAATAAAGGCTTCTGACGAATACGCTGGCGCGTATCCCATAAGTGAAATACCGAAACGAATACTTCAAAGAGAACACACAAAAGACACCATCCATCTTCCCACTATGCACATAAAGAATCAACAGAAGAACATCAGGTACCATATTTGAAAAGACAATAAAATATGCGGAGTGAAATGGAGTGTGCATAGCCGGGTGAGAAGTGTACCACGGCCATATGTAACTCTGTGTTGTTGTTTTTATCGCACTGCTTTGCTTTATCTTGGCCAGGTCGCAGTTGTAAATGAAAACTTGTTCTCAACTGGCTTACCTGGTTAAATAAAGGTGAAAAAAATATATAATCTTTCTCCATTTCCTCCTTCAGGACAGGGCTCCTGAGGGAGCAGAGCTATGATTGGCTCCCAGGCTGAGCTCATAATTAAACCGTGGTGATTGGGTTATTTGGTGATTACTAATCTGCATGGCACCACTTAGCCAATAGTATATAATAGCTTCACATAATGGATTTCAGCCCCTGCTTATTGTTCAGCGACCAGTTTGAATACTTCAGAAATCCACCATTCCTAGTTCCTACCTACCTTCCTTGAACCTTCCTACAATCTAAACTAGATGCCCTCAATCTCACACAAATTATCAACGAACCTACCAGGTACAACCCTAAATCCGTAAACATGGGTACCCTCATAGATATCATCCTGACTAACTTACCCTCTAAATACACCTCCGCTGTCTTCAACCAGGATCTCAGCGATCACTGCCTTATTGCCTGCGTCCGTAACGGGTCCGCGGTCAAACGACCACCCCTCATCACTGTCAAACGCTCCCAAAAACACTTCAGCGAGCAGGCCTTCCTAATTGACCTGGCCCAGGTATCCTGGATGGATATAGATCTCATTCCGTCAGTAGAGGATGCCTGGTTGTTCTTTAAAAGTAATTTCCTCTCAATCTTAAATAGACATGCCCCATTCAAAAAATATAGAACTAAGAACAGATATAGCCCCTGGTTCTCCTCAGACTTGACTGCCCTTGACCAGCACAAAAACATCCTGTGGCGTACAGCATTAGCATCAAATAGCCCCCGCGATATGCAACTTTTCAGGGAAGTTAGGAACCAATATACACAAGCAGTTAGGAAAGCAAAGGCTAACTTTTTCAAACAGAAATTTGCATCCTGTAGCACTAACTCCAAAAAGTTTTGGGACACTGTAAAGTCCATGGAAAATAAGAGCACTTCCTCCCAGCTGCCCACTGCACTGAGGCTAGGAAACACTATCACCACCGATAAATCTACAATAATCGAGAATTTCAACAAGCATTTTGCTACGGCTGGCCATGCTTTCCACCTGGCTACCACTACCCCGGCCACCAGCTCTGCACCCTCCGCTGCAACTTGCCCATGCCCCCCCCGCTTCTCCTTCACACAAATCCAGACAGCTGATGTTCTAAAAGAGCTGCAAAATCTGGACCCCTACAAATCATCTGGGCTAGACAATCTGGACCCTTTCTTTCTAAAACTAGCCGCCGAAATTGTCGCAACCCCTATTACTAGCCTGTTCAACCTCTCTTTCGTAACGTCTGAGATCCCCAGAGATTGGAAAGCTGCCGCGGTCATCCCCCTCTTCAAAGGGGGTGACACTCTAGATCCAAACTGTTACAGACCCATATCCATCCTGCCCTGCCTTTCAAAAGTTTTTGAAAGCCAAGTCAACAAACAGATCACCGACCATTTCGAATCCCACCGTACCTTCTCCGCTATGCAATCCGGTTTCCGAGCTGGTCATGGGTGCACTTCAGCCACGCTCAAGGTCCTAAACTATATTATAACCGCGATCGATAATAGACAGTACTGTGCAGCCGTTTTCATTGACCTGGCCAAGGCTTTCGACTCTGTCAACCACCGCATTCTTATTGGCAGACTAAATAGCCTTGGTTTCTCAAATGACTGCCTCGCCTGGTTCACCAACTACTTCTCAGATAGAGTTCAATGTGTCAAATCGGAGGGCCTGTTGTCTGGACCTATGGCAGTCTCTATGGGGGTGCCACAGGGTTCAATTCTTGGGCCGACTCTTTTCTCTGTGTATATCAATGACGTCGCTCTTGCTGCTGGTGACTCTCAGATCCACCTCTACGCAGACGACACCATTTTGTATACATCTGGCCCTTCATTGGACACTGTGTTAACAAACCTCCAAACGAGCTTCAATTCCATACAACACTCCTTCAGTAGCCTCCAACTGCTCTTAAACACTAGTAAAACTAAATGCATGCTCTTCAAACGAACGCTGCTTGCACCCGCCCACCCGACTAGAATCACTACTCTCGACGGGTCTGACCTAGAGTATGTGGACAACTACAAATATCTAGGTGTCTGGTTAGACTGTAAACTCTCCTTCCAGACTCACATTAAGAATCTCCAATCCAAAGTTAAATCTAGAATCGGTTTCCTATTTCTCAACAAAGCCTCCTTCACTCATGCTGCCAAACATGCCCTCGTAAAACTGACTATCCTACCGATCCTTGACTTCGGCGATGTCATTTACAAAATAGCCTCCAACACTCTACTCAGCAAATTGGATGTAGTCTATCACAGTGCCATCCGTTTTGTCTCCAAAAAGCCCCATATAATACCCACCACTGTGACCTGTACGCTCTTGTTGGCTGGTCCTCACTACATATTCGTCGCCAAACCCACTGGCTCCAGGCCATCTATAAATCACTGCTAGGCAAATCCCCGCCTTATCTTAGCTCATTGGTCACCATAGCAACACCCAACCCGTAGTCTGCGCTCCAGCGGGTATATCTCACTGGTCATCCCCAAAGCCAACACCTCCTTTGGCCGCAATTCCTTCCAGTTCTCTGCTGCCAATGACTGGAACAAATTGCAAAAATCTCTGAAGCTGGAGACACTTATCTCCCTCACTAACTTTAAGCATCAGTTGTCAGAGCACCTTACCGATCACTGCACCTGTACACAGCCCATCTGAAATTAGCCCGCCCAACTACCTCATCCCTATATTGTTATTTATTTTGCTCATTTGTACCCCAGTATCACTATTTGCACATCATCTCTTGCACATCTATCATTCCAGTGTTAATACTAATTGTAATTATTTTGCACTATAGCCTATTTTATTGCCTTACCTCCATAACTTGCTAAATTTGCACACACTGTATATTATATGTATTTCTGTTGTATTTTTGACTTTGTTTTGTTTTACCCCATATGTAACTCTGTGTTGTTGTTTTTATCGCACTGCTTTGCTTTATCTTGGCCAGGTCGCAGTTGTAAATGAGAACTTGTTCTCAACTGGTTTACCTGGTTAAATAAAGGTGAAATAAAATAAAAAAATAAAAACTGACTAACTACTGAGCTGACGTGACTATATTGGTGCTACTGTAGCGCTTTCACCTATCCAATCGGGAATAATCAGTGAGAATTTTGTACAAGGAAGGAAGGGTGCATTTCGAAAGTATTGGAACAAGATGACGATTCCAGACACCTCATTTCACCATTCAAAAACATTTTCACACAGCAGAACATTCTAGAATCATCCAGAAGAAACCAATTTTATACTTACAAATGTACTGTCATAGTGTAGCGCTATCATCAAAACTGCAGTATAGTCCGGTTTTGGTGTTTTATTACTATTTTACCCCACCAAATCATTAACTTACAATAGAATAGGTAAATAAAAATGCATTGACCTGAAATTCATTGTATGGGACATTTGAGGAAACTGAGTGAGAATCTGTTTGCCACTTTTGATAGTAGTCTACAAGAAATTAGAGAATACAAAAATGTTGGAAAAATGCAGACAAATTGAGACTTTAATGTGAGAATCACAATATGAGCATTAAAAATAATTATAAAAAAGTTCAGAGATGCAATAACATTTTTGTTCAGTAGCAGTTTCCCAAAATGCACATTCTTGAAACCAAACAGAATGTAGTGCAACACAAAAGTGCAAATAAATAATCCTAAAATCAGATGCATACACTCAGTTCTCTCTGTAAGATATTATTCAGTTGGCTGTACAGTGGCTGACCTGCTTGTTTATGTTCTTAAATATGAATACCTCTATGTACACATATCTCTCTCCTTCGGCATGGAAGTCTGTACCACCACAGTTGAGTAAAAAAGTGTCCCCATCTTATTGCAAAAAGACATGACAATGTCTCAGTCAAGTCGCAGTCCACTCCGGTTCAAAAGTACTTCTCTCCAGTTCTTCTGTAGATACTATTATACACCACAGCCTGTTCGGATCCTTCTCCAGTTTCATTGCACATCTTCACTCTCTCCTTTTACAGAAGCATCGCAACAATACTGGTGCATGCGTCCACTTCAGTCCACACATGGGCAGGAATGATTGTGTGTTCAAAGTTCACAATAAAATAAAAAATAATGTCTCATAGTCCATTTTGTGTTTATTGTTTCACCTCCAGAGTAGAGTCATCTCCCCAGAAGCTTCTCCCAATGGGCCTTACAGAGAGCACTGAGAAGGGCAGCCCTCCTGACTCTCCTGAGCCAGTGGTAGAGTAGCGGTGAAAGTCTGGGGTGAGGTGTTGGTTGTGTGCAGGAGGTGTGATGGAGGTCTAGGAGTTATTGGCAGCGTTCTCATTACTTGGGGAGCTGGAGGAGGATGACGAGGAGGAGGAAGGGGAGGAGTTCATTCCTGAAAGTCCCGGGGGGTCCGTGGCTGTGTTCTGTCCACTGAGGCTCTTTCTGCACACTGGACATGTGTCGTGCTTAGGGAGAAAGAGAGGGACACAGAAACAAGAGCTTCAGCTTACAGTTTAGACAATGAGAAGACATTAACATGCACACCACTACATTTAAAAGGGATTCAACCGAGGTGTAAACGCACATACCTGTTCCAGCCATGGTACTATACAGTCATTGTGAAACAGGTGATTGCACGGAAGTTGCCTGACAGTCTCCCCTACACTGTAGTCTTCCTTGCACACGGAACATTCTAAACTGGAACCTGCAATAAAAAAGAATATTTTGCGGTGAACTGTTCCTTTAAAATTACCTTTGACCTCTATGGTTGAGTGATCAGTCCCTCCAGGATTTCATTAGATTTTGCTGTGGCAATTCTGACATTTTGCATGGCAATATGCAATGATTTTGTCCAATTTGTCGTGACAATGCGCTGACGTGGGAAAATGTTTGTTGATGTGTGTCTTGATTGAACCATATTATGAGGTAAATGTGCAGTGATTGGCTGAATTTGCCAGCCCTCTTTCTGTACTGCGGTGATGGGTCAGTTTAATGTGATAATATTTCGATCATTTGACTTTTTTATACGGAAATTGTGCAGTGATTGGTTAAATTGGCAAGCCTTGGCATAATATTCAGGGAATTGTTGATTTTGCACCCCAAAAAATGCGATCACAGAATCGTGGAGGGACTGTGATACGTTGTTGTTGACTCACCCACATGTTCCTCTGTGATCTGGATGCTGGGCAGGCTCTTTATCCTCTCTCTGTCAGCAGGAGGAGGACCCGTGTTCTCAAACTGATTCAATAACTACAGGGGAGAGAGGGAAAGTTGTTTTATTAAGTTGTGGAAATGTCACCAGAATTTGTAATTGAATCCCTTGTGAAGTTTAGAGGATTTGGGTATACCTGGGTAATGATAGAATCAAGTCCATTGGCACCCCAAGCGTAGTCCATTGGATTTGAGTGTAGCATGCCCCTATCAAGAGAATTCCAAGAAATGACTCGAAACACACAGTAACTAGTATGTTTACAAATACAACATAGATTTTGAGGGTATTTATATAATAACAGTGTGCAGATACCATGGTCCCATTCCAATGTTCGGCATGGCTGTGGGTGCTATGATTCCATTCACTAGCTGCTGGAGGATTCTGCAGAGGGACAATGAGAAATATCTTAGCCACTTCTTGAATTATTCCTGAAGGAAACTGAGCCATGTCGCTACACAAGCAGTGTATGAATTCCTTTCATAATTCCTTTCTCATCTCCTTCCTACAGGGCAAGCAAACAATGTTTCATAGGGCAAGCAAGCTGGAAAGTGTTCCTTACCCCTCTAATGTGGGCACTCCCTCGTATCTCTGTCCCGGTCGCCGTTGCATGTGTCGTCCCTGTGGTTGCCGGGCGCTGTACCGTTGCCGTGACGCTATCTCCCGTTCCCGCCGGTTCTCTGTCTCGCGGTTATCTTCTGCCGGCAGCCCCGCTCGGAGGTCGAAATTCTCGCCAAGAATCCCCAGAGCGAACTGGCCATATCCGGGCGGAAATGTAAACATGTGCTGGTGGTCCATACTCTTCGGGAGGACAAAGAGGGAAACATATACTGTCACTACCTTGCAGTCCAACCCAGGTGCATGAGTTCATAAGGACCAACTGTTGAGTTGAGGAACAAAGGCGTTCTGTGTCACTAACCTCAAAAGTCGGACGGGTCTGATCGCTTGTGGAGGCAGTGGATGTGGACCCATTTTCAGTGCTGGAAAGATACAAAATATCAGAAATGACATGTTCTCATCTTATCTTCAACTATGAACCAATGTGATAGAAATGAGCCTAAACACTGACAGCCTGTTTCCCAGACACAGAGAGCATTGTCAATGGAGAAGTGCTGCTGAAAGGGCTTTAAACTCTGATAGACAGGCAGATGATACTGTAGGCTACCTTCTCTCCACTGATAGCGCTTCAATGAAGCCAGATTCACACCGTGGACAGGTGTAATCCTGCAGGAGAGCAGAGATACATCTAAATTATAACATAATCATAACTGTCATCAGTCAGTCTCATACACTTTCATGTTTTAATTTGATGTGAAGCTAAACAAAACAACAACCTTGCCTTTGTAGGCTATGTGTGTACCTGGGAATTGAGATTGTTAGCTAGCTTCAACCAGATGTGGCTTGAATTCAAAATCAAACAAGTTAGCTATTGACCTCACCCTTTGACACACTGTAGCTCCATTCACAGAGTTGATCATTTTAACAATAGCTTATGATCCATTCAATAATGCATTGCTATTGAGAGATCTTTGAGTACCATTAGCTCTTTGCAAAGGCTCTCCACACAGGTAGCTATCTGAAAGCTACTGCACTGTACAATTCAAGAAGCTTCCTATGAATGACCATACAACAACAGACTGTTGAAACAGGTTGTTGCAGCTATGGAAATGAGTTGGTGGTGTACATAGCCTAATGATTGTGACAATTGTGTTTTTTGAAAGTCACACTTTGTGAGATCATAACTTAAAGGGGTAATCACTAGTTGCTACATCCAATTGTGGATGTATAAATTAATTATATGTACCCATTGATTCTTAAAGAATATAACTTATAAATGCCTTATGAGCTTAGTTCAACTGTCGTACGCATTAGAACCCAAAATATATGCATGTTTAACTCCAATGTTTGTAAACAAAGTAAATGTAAACAACCACTATATAGCCTAAAAACATGTTTAAACTATACTTTTGATATCATGGATGGTCATTCCTTGCATCCTTAGCTTTGAATTTGACAGTGGCTACATTTCTCCAGCCCCATCCCCTTACTTTGTTACCGAAACTGTGGTGGGGAGTCGCTTTGTTATTGTTTCAACTTCTGATTTCTGCTTTAAGTTAGGTAGCTATCTACCTTTGGAGGTGCTAGGGCCCGATTTCCCTGTTTATCCGGCAAGCTGTCACAATAATGAACAGGTCTCATATTATAAAGAGAGAAACACGCTGTCACTTGAAGATCTGGGTAACTCCTTAGCTAATCCAACAAGTCACAGAGGCATGACCTCGAAACATCCTAACACGAAGCTATAACGTTAGCTGTCAAATGATTGGCAACGTGAACGTTCTACTAGCTACAAGCTAACGTTAGCTAGCTATCATGCTTCAGCCAGAGGATATCGTGGATAAAATAATACAAAATAATACAGCTGGCAATGGTTTTCTTTTGTCAACGACAAAAACCTCTCTGGAATGCTTACCGGGAGACGAGGGTTGATCTCTGCTGAACATCGGTGACAGAAAAACCGGCAGGGCCGTGGGGGAGCTTCAGCCATCTTCTGATTCTCTACCAGACAACCGAGAGGGAACATGTACGGGTAGCGACAACCGACATAATTCGCTGTTCTAGGAGTCGATTTGCGAGACCGACAGGAAGCGGAAACTAGTGAAGCGCAGGCTAGCTTAGCAACAGATAGCTCGTATCAGGGAATAAAGATCTGGTTAGCTGCAACTATGGAGTCCGGAGATACAGGTAAAAGCTCGCAGTAATATTCAATATTTGAAATGACAGACCTGAATATAGTAACTATTTTAAAATGGTTAAAACTATACTCTTGCCTCATCAAATCCGGTTATTTGCGCTAGCTAACTACCTAGTTAGCTAATGTTAGCTACTTAGTTAGCTAGTTACCACCACCCATCAACAGGATTTGTAGTTGTTGATACATCAAAATTAATCGAACAAATCTGTAGACACAATCAGAATCAACTGCATAATGTCAGTTTCATTACATAATTAGTTGTAGTTTGGTATTTTAGCTATTTATTGCTGACTTCTTGATGCCACCTAGCGAGCTAACTAGCCAGTTTTAGATTATTATTATTTTATTTTTGTACCAACCCTGGCCTGCTGGCTGCTTCTCAAGTCTGTGACAACAAAGATGATAAAAGAGAATGGAGACATCCTCAGTGAGGCAAGATATAGTCCCTGACATGACTGTAAATATGCCTGCACATTCCTAACATTCAGGGAAGTTCACTCTTCATAATATATAGATAGCTAGTCACATACATGAGTGACTTTTACTAGAATACTCACAAAGATAGCTAGAGCAATTACAAAATAGATCACCTCTTGCAACTAACATTATTGGTAACAGGACACCGATAACAATTGCTCCCAACTCTTCCACTGTTTGTTTTATTCCCATTGCAGGGAGAGGAGGCTGGAACAACAAGTTCCGGCCAGCCCAGAAGAACAGGATGAGTGTGAACATTCTCCGTCAGGAGGAGCTTATCGCTCAGAAGAAGCGCGAGATCGAGGCTAAGATGGCAGAGCAGGCCAAGAAAAAGAGCCTTCAGACTCCCAACAAGCCACTGCCACCAAGGTACAGTAGACCCTAGTCTTTTGAAACACTACAAATACCTCTCATCAAAACTACTCAATCCCAGCTGGAAGTACTTGATTCTGTCCCACTTGACTGCAGCCATGGATTTTGACTTCTTATCCCCACAATTTACCCAGTTTACAGGGACACTCTTCGAACAACAACAAGTATGTGAATGACGGAAGCTTCTTACAGCAGTTTATGAAGCTTCAGAAGGACAAACCCAGCTCTGACTCTGGTGAGATAGCTAGCTCTTTTCTTTAATTGTTTCAATTGAAAATGGGCTAGGACTTTATTTTAATGGTACAGAAATGATTAAATAAAATGGTAATAACACAATTTATTTATTAATTTTCTTCTGGATTCATTAAACAATTAAGAAAACACTGCAGTGAGTGTTAACCCAATTGTGTACCCTCTCCAGGTTCCAGCAGTGACACCAAAGCCCCGTCGTCATCCACTCCCAGTCCGTCGTCGGGAGTGTCTCAGCCCCAGATGAAGAGCATTCTCATCGGTAAGCGCCCCGGTCTAGGGATCAGCAGCATGCTGAACCAGTTTAAGAACTACTCCCAGTCCAAGAAGACCCCACTTCGCCCCCAAAGGCCTAGCATATTCAGCTCCCCAGATGAAGATGATGATGATGAGGAGGAAGTTGATGATTCGAGCTTCCTAGAGATCAAAGGTAATTCATGATCTGTGTTTTTAAATATCAAAGGACTGCCAGGAGCCTGGGTGCAAGTCTGATTCAGTCCTATTCTACTTGTTGTCATTTCACCCATGTCATTGACTGTGTATTCCAGTTGCAGAGTAGCTGCTTCCTGAGAATAATGCTTTGCCTGAATTCTCATAGCCTTCTACAGTAGAGTAAAGGTAACCTAGTCGTCTTAAAGTCTTTCCCCCAGAAGACCCAGACACACGACTTATCCTGGACAAGATGGCGGCCTTTGTGGCTGAGGGAGGGCCTGAGCTAGAGAGGAAGGCCAAGGAGGACTACAGGGACAACCCTGTTTTCTCGTAAGTCTGCATGGATGTAGGTACTAACAGCATGTTGAATGTATAGCTAGTATGTAGTGTATGTAATGATGCCTCTTTTAGTCCTGATTATAAAGGTATTTTCCCTCCACCTTACAGATTCTTGTATGATAATAACAGCCGGGACTATCTTTATTACCGAAAGAGAGTTGCTGAACTCCGAAAGGATAACTCAAAACATGAGATGCCATCACGTTCTAATGGTAAGATTACCTATATCACTCTCTCACGTTCTCACTCTCTCAAAGACTACAGATTAAAAGAACACCATTCAATCTATATTTATACATGTGAATGAGTCATATGTGAGATAAATATAATTGCCCTCCTTGGAGAGTTTTAGTTGATGTTGAAAGTAACCAATACACATGAAAGAAAGAGGAGGATCGACGCTTCAAGTTACAGATGCACAATGATTTACTGAATACTTTCACCATGGTACAAGTCATTCATGACACATTTCGATTACCTACGACGGTTCATGGTGTTATTTATTCAACGATTTTACGATTAGGCCTATATTCCATTATCAAATCCATACAATCCACTTCCCCAATCACCACCGTGTCCCCCTGCTCCTCCTCCTTCCCCAATCACCACCGTGTCCCCCTGCTCCTCCTTCCCCCCTCTTCTTATCCCCTACTGGCTGTAGGCGGGTGTGTGAGGGCCAGTTGAGTACGGTACGGTAGTAGTGTGAGTTGAGCCCCAGTACTGATAGGCTGCTTAAAGTCTCCCCCCCAGTGGACGAGGAGACCCAGAGGGTGGCTGAGAAGCTGGCCATGTTTGTGGCCGATGGTGGCCCCGAGGTGGAAGCCATCGCCGCCCAGCACAACCAGGACAACCCCACCTTCAGGTTAGTGACAGTCTCAGATATTGTAACGAGAGCGTTTAATGTATTCATCCTATTGTATTGTTCCCTAAGAATACATTGATTTGTCATAAGCTTTCAATAAAATAAAGTAAGCAATACTAACATGTAAATTGGATAAAATACCATAAAAGACGGCATTTTTATTCTTCCTTTTCGCAGTTTTCTATATGACCTCCAAAGCCCCGCCCACCGTTTCTACAAGGAGAAGGTGGAGGAGTACCGCCAGGCCAAAAATGCCCAGAGCCCCCCTCCAACGATCAAGCAGGAGCCTGGGGTGGGGCTCAAGAGACCGGCCGCCCCTCCCCTGACCTATCCTCCCCCCCCTCCGCCCCCTCACTACCCCTACCTGGTGGGCCAAGTAAAGCTAGAGCCAGGTCTGGGGATAAAACAGGAAGCGGCAGGTCCCCCCGTGGTGAAGAGAAAGAGGAAGAGCCGCTGGGGGTCGGAGGACGACAAGGTGGATCTGTCGCAGCAACCCATCATCATCCCCAAGGAGGAGGAGCCAGAGCCCAGCCCGTGTCTCTCTGGTAATCACACACCCAAACAAAACACACATACACGGAGTGTACAAAACATTAGGAACACCTTCCTAATATTTAATTGCACCCCCTTTTGCCCACAGAACAGCCTCAATTTGTTGGGCATGGACTCTACAAGGTGTCAAGCGTTCCACAGGGATGCTGACCCATGTTGACTCCAATGCTTCCCACAGTTGTGTCAAGTTGGCTGGATGTCCTTTGGGTGGTGGACCATTCTTGATGCACACGGGAAACTGTTGAGGGTGAAAAACCCTGCAGTATTGCAGTCTTGACACACTCAAACAGGTGCGCGTGGCACCTACTACCATACCCTGTTCAAAGGCACTTCAGTCTTTTGTCTTGCCCACTCAACCTCTGAATGGCACACATACACAATCCATGTCTCAAGTCTTAAAAATCCTTCTTTAACCTGTCTCCTCCTCTTCATCTACACTGATTTGAAGTGGATTTAACAAGTGACATCAATAAGGGATCATATAGCTTTCACCTGGATTCACCTGGTCAGTCTGTCATAGAAAGAGCAGGTGTTCCTAATGTTTTGTACACTCAGTGTATGTTCAGCCTCTCTTGTATAACACACACATAGAGACAGTCGTTCTAGTATAAGACTAAAAACAGTGTTTGTAAGGTATGTCCATCCATGCTGAGTGTGTGTGTGTGTGTGTGTGTTTCAGTTCATGAACTGAGGGATCTGGGCTATAAGAAGGGCAAGCCTGTGGGCCTGGTGGGAGTGACTGAGCTCTCAGACGACCAGAAGAAACAGCTCAAAGAGCAACAGGAGGTACTACATGACTGACAGACAGACAGCACAATACACTAGGGCAGCAAATTGTACTTTCCCAATTTGAATTGTCGGGGACTGGGCAATGTTAATCCTTGGTTTGGTATGGGGGTGTCTAGCATACTTCAAACCTCTAACAAAACCAAATGGGCTTGGTTGTGTTCGATCTCAGCCACCTTGCAATCTGTCCCTGAAACCTTGCCTGAGGTGTGTGTCCGGCCTGCACATGCGTGTGTGTGGTGTGTCTGTGTTCCCACCTCAGATGCAGGAGATGTTTGACATGATCATGAAGCATAAGCGTGCGATGACGGAGATGCAGGTGATGTGGGAGAAGGCGGTGCGGGACCACTCCCACGAGTATGACAGTGACGAGGAGGTGGACCAGCAGGCTGGCACCTGGGAGCACCGCCTCCGTCACATGGAGATGGAGAAAACACGTGGTAAGATTCATGAAGACAATGGCCAACATGAAGACAGTGTTTGAGATTTTCAAAACCGTGATGTATCATGGGTAAATTGACTGACTGATCTACAAGTGATATTGAGTAGTTATTTATGATGCAAAGTGATTTGTAGATCAGTCAGTCTCGGCTCGCCTTCAAAGTCGGCTGCAATGTCAAATGCGCCCAATTTGTTTATGTTAAAGTGAAAGGACTTAAAGGGAAATGTGAAAAAAATGTCAACTTCATATTCATCATCTCCAGCACCATCCCAACATCAAGCATATGTGAAAATGGCTCATTTCTATGTTTTGTAGTAAAAAGATTGAGGAAGATAAGTGTTTCCAATGACATCATCAACCAATTAGTAGGTAATGCCTACTCATAATTGGTTAAAATGACACGATGCACACCAATGATGTCATTGGGAACACTTATCTTCCTCTGTCTTTTTTACTACATTTTCACATATGTTGATGTTGGGGTGGTGCTGTTGAAACATTTTGAAATTTACCTTTAAGTCCTTTTGAATGTGAGATTTAATTCTTCAAAAGATCAGTTTGTTACTACGACAAATCATTAATCAACTCTGAGATGTACTCTGTTATATTAACCTGGGCCACGTTTAATCTGAACGTTCCAATACGTTGTGTCCTGCTGACCACGCCCCTGAAGTGATTTGGTGTTGATGTAAATGGCTGCATGTGTCTTCCTCCAGAGTGGGCGGAGTCGCTGACTGACATGGGAAAGGGGAAGCACTTCATTGGTGACTTCCTACCTCCGGAGGAGCTGGAGAAGTTTATGGAGACCTTCAAGGCACTCAAGGTCGGTCCACTCCCCATCTCTTCTCTTCACCACTTGGTCCTTGACCCCTTCGTTGTCTTGCCTCAGCCCAAAAGGAATTACCTGTGAACCACCATTTGTGAAACATTCTATTCACATGTTCTCATGTTCTTGCCTTGTGTTCTGCAGGAGGGCCGTGACCCAGACTACTCTGAGTATAAGGAGTTTAAGCTGACGGTGGAGAACCTTGGTTTCCAGATGCTCATGAAGATGGGCTGGAAGGAGGGTGATGGTCTCGGCTCTGGCGGACAGGGCATCAAGGCTCCGGTCCACAGGTTGGGAACTGTCAAATACACACACTCACAGACACATAGTATACACACATGGACTAAGACATGGTCACACTAAGACAGGCACACAAACACTTCACACTATTGTCTGATACAAGGTATTCTACACAGCTTACAGACACACAGAGAGACACACACCTAGCCAGCTGATGTCATGTGTTTGTTCCAGGGGAACCACGGCTGTTGACGGGGCAGGGTTTGGCGTGGAACGGCCCGCTGAGCTCTCAGGACAGGACGATGAGTATGACGCTTTCAGAAAGAGGATGATGCTAGCCTACCGCTTCAGGCCTAACCCACTGGTAACTACTACATAACATGCAAGCTGTTCCGTTCAGATGACCTGGCGTCGGCAAGAGTTTGGGGTAACACGTCTGTCTCTCTTCTCAGAACAACCCGAGGAGGCCATACTACTGATGAAGAGATCTGAACTTGGCCGACTTGGTCAACTTTTCTTTTTTTAAACAACCAACAGTGGCATATTGTGATGGCCCAGTTATTTATTTATCTTTGTTGTGGAAACAAACTGTAAGACACTCAGTTCAAGTAATCTCCACTAGATTGTGTGGAATTGTATGGTTGGTGATAAACGGTTTAGGCTGGAGATTAAGGATGGATTTGTCTGATCTAAAGTTTGCTGTTCTTACTCAACTGCAGAATGAAAGTTTCCTATTTGATCAATCGGACGGCTAGGGTAGCATTGTGATGGCTCGCTATCATGATTTGATTTCACAGTCACAACTGATAACACAGAACAACCTATACACACACACACACAGTGGTGGAAAAGGACCCAATTGTCATACTTGAGTAAAAGTAAAGATACCTTAATAGAAAATTACTCAAGTAAAAGTGAAATTCACCCAGTAAAATACTGCGTGAGGAAAAGTCTAAAAGTATTTGGTTTTAAATATACTTAAGTATCAAATGTAAATGTAATTGCTAAAATATACTTAAGTATCAAAAGTAAAAGTATTAATAATTTAAAAATCCTTATATTAGGCAAACCAGAAGCCACCATTTTCTTGTTTTTATAAATGTACAGATAGCCAGGGGCACACTCCAACACTCAGACATAATTTACAAACAAAGTATGTGTGTTTAGTGAGTCCGTCAGATCAGAGGCAGTAGGAATGACAAGGTATGTTCTCTTGATAAGTGTGTGAATTTCACAATTTTCCTGTCCTGCTAAGCATTCAAAATGTAACGAGTACTTTTGGGTGTCAGGGAAAATGTATGGAGTAAAAAGTACATTAAGTACATTATTTTCTTTAAGAATGTAGTGAAGTAAAAGTTGTCAAAAATATAAATAGTAAAGTAAAGTACAGATACCCCAAACAGCTACTTAAGTAGTTCTTTTAAAGTATTTTTACTTAAGTACTTTACACCACTACACACAAATAATTAGAAATAAGATATAAAAAATAAAAAAAGGTTTTAAGGAAATGAATGGCTTTGTAGTTAGTTCTTTGTTGTTGTACATCGTCAATGCAATGAATGTAAAATGCTTCACTGCGAACAATAAAAATATATACACTGAACAAAAATATAAACGCAACATGCAACAATTTCAAAGATTTTCTGAGTTACAGTTCATCATTCAATTGAAATAAATAAATTAGGCCCTAATCAATGGATTTCACATGACTTGGAATACAGATATGCATCTGTTGGTCCCAAAAAAGGGGGTGTGTGGATGAGAGAACCAGTCAGTATCTCGTGTGACCACCATTTGCCACATGCAGCGCGACACATCTCCTTCGCATAAAGATGATCAGGCTGTTGATTGTGGAATGTTGTCCCACTCCTCTTCAATGGTTGTGCGAAGTTGATGGATATTGGCGGGAACTGGAACACGCTGTCGTACACGTCGATCCAGCGCATCCCAAACATGCTCAATGGGTGACATTTCTGGTGAGTATGCAGGCCATGGAAGAAGTGGGACATTTTCAGCATCCAGGAATTGTGTACAGATCCTTGTGACATGGGGCCATGCGTTATCATGCTGAAACATGAGGTGATGGCGGCAGATGAATGGCACAACGTTGGGCCTCAGGATCTCATCACGGTATCTCTATGCATTCAAATTGCCATTGATAAAATGCAATTGTGTTCGTTGTCCGTAGCTTATGCCTGCCCATACCATAACCCCACCGCCACAATGGGGCTCTCTTTTCACAACATTGACATCAGCAAATCGCTCACCCATACGACGCCATACACGTGGTCTGTGGTTGTGAGGCCGGTTGGACGTACTGCCAAATTCTCTAAAACAACGTTGGAGGCGGCATATGGTAGAGAAATGAACATTCAATTGTCTGGCAACAGCTCAGGTGGACATTACTGCAGTCAGCATGCCAATTGCACGCTCACTCAAGACGAGACATCTGTGGCATTGTGTTGTGTGACAAAACTGCACATTTTAGAGTGGCCTTTTATTGTCCCTAGCACAAAGTGCACCTGTGTAATGATCACGCTGTTTAATCAGCTTCTTGATATGCCACACCTGTCAGGTGGATGTGTTATCTTGGCAAAGGAGAAATGCAAACTAACAGGGATGTAAACAAATTTGTGCACAAAATGAGAAAAATAAGCTTTTTGTGCATATGGAACATTTCTGGGATCTTTTATTTCAGCTCATGAAACATGGGACCAACACTTTGCATGTTGCCTTTTATATTTTTGTTTAGTATATCTTCATTGTGTAGTGGAGTATTTTTGTGGTTGATCAGTGCCCTCTGGTGTTGACTTGTGGAAAAACATTTTAGTCTATATGATTTCAATTCAGGCAAACTCCAATTCCACAGTGTAGATCAAATAAATATATTTATTTACAAGATAAATTGAATGTCCATTACATAGTATGTCTAAAACACTCAGTCTTCTGTTAGTGAAAATGTTTCTTTCACCGAGCAAGTAGCAAGTTTGTACTTGCAAGTAGTACATTTGCATTATTGTACAGCATTGCAGGGGTGTAAGGAGAAATTGTTAAAATAAGTGTTGTATACAGTGTAATAGAGGTACATTCAAATATAAATATGCTATGTAGAACAAACATGCCTCTGACATGTAGAATAAGAAATCTTGATGGCTCTTTTCGTGGCATTTCTATCTGTGCAATGTTCGACAGTGTTTGGCTACTGGACGTGGCCCTGATGCCCATCTTATCCTGGGGGTTGAGGAGTTGATAACCCTGGTAGGGTGTCCTCAACCTGCCACCTCATCCAGAGGCGTCATGCCCATAGGGGCACATGCCCTCTCAGATTTGTCCTGTTTTAAAAATTATATATATATATATATACAGTGGGGGAAAAAAGTATTTAGTCAGCCACCAATTGTGCAAGTTCTCCCACTTAAAAAGATGAGAGGCCTGTAATTTTCATCATAGGTACACGTCAACTATGACAGACAAAATGAGAAAAGAAAAATCCAGAAAATCACATTGTAGAATTTTTAATGAATTTATTTGCAAATTATGGTGGAAAATAAGTATTTGGTCAATAACAAAAGTTTCTCAATACTTTATTATATACCCTTTGTTGGCAATGACACAGGTCAAACGTTTTCTGTAAGTCTTCACAAGGTTTTCACACACTGTTGCTGGTATTTTGGCCCATTCCTCCATGCAGATCTCCTCTAGAGCAGTGATGTTTTGGGGCTGTCGCTGGGCAACACGGACTTTCAACTCCCTCCAAAGATTTTCTATGGGGTTGAGATCTGGAGACTGGCTAGGCCACTCCAGGACCTTGAAATGCTTCTTACTTTGGTCCCAGCTCTCTGCAGATCATTCACTAGGTCCCCCCGTGTGGTTCTGGGATTTTTGCTCACCGTTCTTGTGATCATTTTGACCCCACGAGGTGAGATCTTGCGTGGAGCCCCAGATCGAGGGAGATTATCAGTGGTCTTGTATGTCTTCCATTTCCTAATAATTGCTCCCACAGTTGATTTCTTCAAACCAAGCTGCTTACCTATTGCAGATTCAGTCTTCCCAGCCTGGTGCAGGTCTACAATTTTGTTTCTGATGTCCTTTGACTGCTCTTTGGTCTTGGCCATAGTGGAGTTTGGAGTGTGACTGTTTGAGGTTGTGGACAGGTGTCTTTTATACTGATAACAAGTTCAAACAGGTGCCATTAATACAGGTAACGAGTGGAGGACAGAGGAGCCTCTTAAAGAAGAAGTTACAGGTCTGTGAGAGCCAGATATCTTGCTTGTTTGTAGGTGACCAAATACTTATTTTCCACCATAATTTGCAAATAAATTCATGAAAAATCCTACAATGTGATTTTCTGGAATTTTTTTTCTCAATTTGTCTGTCATAGTTGACGTGTACCTATGATGAAAATTACAGGCCTCTCTCATCTTTTTAAGTGGGAGAACATGCACAATTGGTGGCTGACTAAATACTTTTTCCCCCCACTGTATATATATATATTAGTACCAGTCAAAAGTTTGGAAACCTACTCATTCAAGGGTTTTTCTTCATTTTTACTATTTTCTACATTGTAGAATAATGGTGAAGACATCAAAACTATGAAATAACACATATGGAATCATGTAGTAACTAAAAAAGTGTTAAACAAATCAAAATATATTTTATATTTGAGATTATTCAAATAGCCACCTTGATGACAGCTTTGCATTCTCTCAACCAACTTCATGGGGTAGTCACCTGGAATGCTTTTCCAACAGTTCCCACATATGCTGAGCACTCTACTGTCCAACTCATCCCAAACCATCTCAATTGGGTTGAGGTCGGGTGATGCAGCACTCCATCACTCTCCTTCTTGGTCAAATAACTCTTACACAGCCTGGAGGTGTGTTTTGGGTCATTGTCCTGTTGAAAAACAAATGATAGTCCCACTAAGCGCAAACCAGATGGGATGGTGTATCGCTGCAGAATGCTGTGGTAGCCATGCTGGATAAGTGTGCATTGAATTCTAAATAAATCACTGACAGTGTCACCAGCAAAGCACCCCCACACCATCACACCATCACACTGCCTCCTCCATGCTTCACGAGGGGAACAACACCTGCGGATATCATCCGTTCACCTACTCTGCATCTCACAAAGACACGGCGGTTGGAATCAAAAATCTCAAATTTGGACTCATCAGACCAAAGGACAGATTTCCACCGGTCTAATGTACATTGCTTGTGTTTCTTGGCCCAAGCAAGTCTCTTCTTCTTATTGGTGTCCTTTAGTAGTGGTTTCTTTGCAGCAGTTCGAACATGAAGGCCTGATTCACGCAGTCTCCTCTGAACAGTTGATGTTGAGATGTGTCTGTTACTTGAAGCATTTATTTGGGCTGCAATCTGAGGTGCAGTTAACTCTAATGAACGTATCCTCTGCAGCAGAGGTAACTCTGGGTCTTCCTTACCTGTGGCGGTCATGAGAGCCAGTTTCATCATAGCGCTTGATGGTTTTTGCGACTGCACTTGAAGAAACGTTCAGTTCTTGAAATGTTCCGTATTGACTGACCTTCATGTCTTAAATGAATGATGGACTGTCGTTACTCTTTGCTTATTTGAGCTATTCTTGCCATAATATGGACTTGGTCTTTTACCAAATAGGGCTATCTTCAAAATAGGGCTATCACCCCTACCTTGTCACAACACAACTGATTGGCTCAAACGCACTAAGAAGGAAATAAATTCCACAAATTAACTTTTAACAAGGCACACCTGTTAATTGAAATGCATTC